GGCTTCACTCTCTCTGTCCATAAACCACAAATTATAGCATTCCCTCTGGTTGGGGCTGCCGGGGAGCAAAATAAGTTTGTGTGTGTGTGTGTGTGTGTGTGTGTGTGTGTGTGTGTGTGTCACATTTGCTGACACAGTAGGAATCCGTCTGAAATCGGTGTCATTACTATTTACATATACATTGGCACATCACATTCCACCTCATCTCTCCCTCCTNGTGTGTGTGTGTGTGTGTCTGTGTGTGTGTGTGTGTGTGTCATTTGCTGACACAGTAGGAATCCGTCTGAAATCGGTGTCATTACTATTTACATATACATTGGCACATCACATTCCACCTCATCTCTCCCTCCTTTACTTGTGCTCTCCATCTTTCTTCTACCCCATGACTCTTATGTTCTCTTGTAAAATGTAATCCAGCGTAAAATACATTTGCATGGAGCTGAAAATGGATTACATGTATGAACCTTTCCCTCCCTAACCACCAAGACGAGGGTTATGTATAAGGGCTGCAGCAGTATGTTATAATCACTGTACATTTATCTCTCTTGGTTCCCATCTTGGACAATATTTTCTCTGTTGGTTTGTATTTGCAGACAGGATCAAGGCCATGCTTATCGCCTTTTTTTCCATACCACCTTCAAGGTTTATTATTGCTTTTCCATACAGTACACATCACACATTAGGTACCTTTTCATCTTCAACACCGTAAAGGGGGAACATATAAGTGCCTGGCATCATTAACATTGGTTGGGGATCAAACATTGGAGCCCACTGGGCTTGGAGGCATCATTATTTCAATTATGTTGAGTTGAATCAGGTTTAAAGGAAGAGAGAGGGAAAATAGAAGCGTGTGCATGGCAGTGGGATATGAAGATGAGGGGGGATAGACGGAAAGAATCCAATGGCGAGAGGGAACTTTGTCTTTGTTTTGGTCTGGGTTTGAGCATGCAAGCTAAATTCCCAGAGCTCGGAAGCTTTTTGTTCCCGCTGTGTCCCACTTTGTGCGCAGAGATATCAGCCAGCACAGGGTCAGAGCGCTGCAGCCTTTTGTTCCCTGTGCAAGGAGATTCCCCAAATCCCTGAAACAAACACTTGTGCAGGGGATAAACCCCACGGATGATTCAAAACTAACACAAAAATCTACACACAGAAACACACACACGTAAGAAAAACACAATGCTGAGACACAACAAATGTCTTCTGTTGTTGAGCTGGCTCAGTTTGACATACATGAGAAATTATCTTTCTCCTCAGGAGCGTTATATGTGTTTTTTGATTAGCAACTCATGCTGACAAATATCACTGTGTCCAGAAATAACACTCGGACTGAAATGTGGAGTGATAGCTGTGCTGTCAAGAAAAAGTGTGTATTGTTTACTTCACTATTTGATTCAGCCTCAATTATCTTGTAGCTACTGCTGTGTTTGAAAAAATTACAGGGTACGATAAAGGGTGGAACAAACAAAGCAAAATAAAAAAATTACTTTTACCAGCAATGTGATGAATGAAAAATCTGCGAGAGTCCAGCAATTGGAGATGCTTCTATTCTTTTCTTTTCTTATGATTGCCCATAAAGGGCTGCCTACACTGAATAATTGCTATAAAGATAACTACATATATATCTACTTTTGTCACTATAAAATAGTTTTACTACAACAGTCGTGAAAGATAATGTTGGATTCCCTTTCAGAGCAACAGAAACAATGGCAGTCAATCCAAATCCATACAAATACAAGGGTTTGGACAGTAACATTTTGTTTAAACATGTATTCTATCAGCAATAATCAGAAACACACACAATCTCCTATATCTTATCACCACAGCTATGATGTACAACAGTGGCTCCTTTACATCTGTTTTCTTTCTCTTATCCATACTCTCCTTATCTTTATATATTTTTATTTACACCCGTAACAAGCTATTGTTATATTATGTCAATGTTAGAGCTTGGCAGTGTATAGTTTTTCCTATGGTTACTGTTCTTAGTGCACTTTAGCTTGATAGTTGTCGTGCCTAATGCCTCTATATTTATCATCTTCAACGTCTGTCATTCATATGCCTCATGCTGAGTTACATTTCAGCCTCTGTTGGATTCATGGTTTGTTTTCTCTCGGATAAAGACAAGGGATATTTCATATGTTCAACTGATACACAAACTACTATCCTCTGCCAAAATACATAAATGAATCCTTCAGAAATGTTGAATTCATGGAGATACTGTCTTAAATACTGCAATAGCTGTTGGTTTCTTTTATTGTGTACATGTACTGTAAAAGAACACACCATTTCATGTGGATATTTCCTTGTCTTTTTAGGGGAGATTTGCTCCTTTAAGATTTATGGTCAGGATGCTCCCTTCGAGGCTGTGGTGTTGAATCGCACATCAGGAGAGGGAGTCCTAAGGGCCAGCAGCCCGGTGGACTGTGAGAGCCAGAAAGAGTACACCTTCATCATCCAGGCCTACGACTGCGGGGCGGGGCCCAGCGGAGCCGACTGGAAGAAATCCCACAAGTGAGTCGATGAATATCTGTCCATGTGATGAGGGGGTATTTGCTTCAGTCGTCATTAAGGCACTTTTTAGTCCAACATGTTTCTTGCGTGTTTTTCTGCCCAGACTTGGGATCTTCCCTTGAAAAGATAACTCTGACAGAAAATTCTGACAATTTATTAGTGGGTTTACAATTGTGACATATTTCAATCTTTTATAAGAGTTAAACAACTCACTTAACATCATTTGTGACTCCAGCAACCCCCGACTATCTGACATGTTTACATCTCTGAAGCTTTTTTAATGCTGCTGTATAACTCAGCTATGAAAATGGTAATTGTTAGACGCTGTATCAAATCTGTCATACTGCTTATTATTGGTTATCTTCCCATGATTTACTTGTTTGGCTGTCAATGTAAATTGATTTAAAGTGGGCGGACAAAGACACATGACTGACAAACAAATATGAACTTCAAAGTAACAAAGGCAGCTGCACAAATGAGTCATATGCCTCAAAAAAGTCTTGAACATGAAAAACAGAGAAAACTTTAATATGTTAAGTCTCACCATCACAAACAGCAAGAACATTTATAACATCACTACGACATACCCTAAAAATGAATGATACATAAAACATTTCTCTGTCATTGTTTATTGAAAGCTTACATAAAAATTACAAAACACACTTGTGTATTTAACTACATTATACTGATTATATTTCCTACCCAATTAACACAAATGACTATTTTAGTGACTGAAATCAAACTTACAAATATGTAATGTGATTCTCGCTCAAGATTTTTGCATGACTCAAATGGATCTGAACTTTTTGACACAACTGCAGAGGCCAGAAGTGAACCGCCCACCTGTGGTTTTATAGTCCTGTACATGATGGGTCTGAGTTGGAGTGTGCATTATTTTCTTTCCAGAATCTCTTTTTGTTTTTTGTTTTAAACTCGTCCTGCTGTAGCACTTCAGACTTGTCTTGGTGTCTTGAAATAGAGAAAATACATTCCATAGCCTTCCCTTAAATGTATATATTGTGCATTCACAGCTAAAGGTAATGAAGAAAAACACCTTTCAATGGATATGTCTTTTTCTACATTCTCTTCTTTCTTTTCTGGTATATATTTTCAAGATTTTTGAGCACGGCAGCAGTGACATGCTAAAACATACAGCTCTGCTCTCAGGGTATGTCCCCCGAATGGCCCATATATATTATGTGTGTGTGGCAGTTCCTTGTGATTGACGGACAGGTAGAATGGAATAGACAGCAGAAAATCCAACCCTGTGGACTTTCAGTCAGACACAAAGAGCTGGAAAATAAGCTTCTCCATACTTACTACTAGGAGGAAGGGGAGAGAGGGAAGAGCTATCTGCTCAGGAATCTGTGATGAATTTCACCAGTGGATGATGGATGACACACAGCGAACGTGTGTGTGTGTGTGAGTGTGTGTGAATGTGACATTATCGCGGCATGACATTCTAAATAGGCCTCATTAAGCTAATGTCATTAATTAGCCAGATGTGATTCTCCAGATACACTGTGAGTTGTTGTCAGAGAAGGTCACCGGGGAGGAGAATTTCATGATATGATCTAAATTATTGCCTCATTTTATAATCTTTAGTGCACAATTGTTATTAGAGTTTAAAGTTTACAACCTGCAAATGAGTGTGTTTTTATGTGCTTCTTAAAAAGATAGTGAAGGAAAAAGTTAGAAGGAACCTTCAATAACAACCCGACTTTTGTTCCGTTAACATGCCTGTTAAATAAAAGTTTGATTGTCATGATGATAATTTGAAACCTTTTCACAAAGAAATACCGATAATCAAGAGGTAACTCTTCCAAATCCGGATTTTCAGGAATAAATCTATTTTCCCTACAAGCTTAGGAACTGTTGTCCTCTCACATTGCTCCGCCTTCAACTAACCACTGTTCTCAAGATAAACAGTACCTTTAGGTCCTTATTAATTGTCTTCAACTCTAATGACTTAGAGAGATTTGTCCTTGTCTCCTCTCTCCCTCCCTCCATCCATCTCTTCTTTCCCTGCATCCTTCTTTTTCCTTTAATCCATCAATCATTTCCTCTGCACTTTCTTCACACCCTTCCCTCCTCTCCTCTCAGGGCGGTGGTTCACATCCAGGTCGATGACGTCAATGAGTTCAGCCCTGTGTTTCGGGAGCCACTTTACAAGGCATCTGTTACAGAGGGCAAAATCTACGACAGCATTTTGCAGGTATTTAGATATCATATTTTAAAGGTATCATTACTTTGTTTTTGTTTTTTGATTCATTGTTTTATTTTGAGGATCCACCTGGCAAATAATTGTGTAGGTTCAGAAGGTTAAAGAGGACATTTTATGCTCATTTTCAGGTTTCATATTTGTATTTTGTGCCTCTACTGTTTCCATGCTTTAATGTTAAAAAATGTCTTTATGTTTCTCATACTGCCTGTGCTGCCACACCTCTTTTCACCCTCTGTCTGAAACCATAGCCCAGTCTGCTCTGATTGGTTAGCTGGCCGGCTCTGACGTGATTGGTCAACCGCTTAAAGATGTCCCCGCCCCTTAACCTATCCCGTACAATGTGTTGGAGCGCTAGCCAATATAAGAGCGACTGTGACATGGTGATGTCATGATGTCACAGAAGTAACAATCGAGGCATTTCAGGCAGGGGGGGAGGATGTGGTGTGAGAGGGAAACTCCCCCTGGATTGAACTTTGGGATTTTAGCCTTTGCAGAACATTTACATGCACAAAAAAAAAAAAAGAACACACTATAGGTAAAGGGAAAACCAACAAAAGCATAATGGGACCTCTTGGTGGCCTCTCCCGATGCCACAAAAAATGATTTGTTCAAAAACGTAGGATGTTGTGATGGTTCACAGTCTTCTTGGTGTTGATTAAGGACAGGGAAGAAAGTATTTATTTTTATGTTGCAGGTGGAAGCTTGGGACCAAGACTGTTCACCACAGTACAGCCAGATCTGCATCTATGAGATTGTCACTGCAGGGACGCCATTTGCTATCGACCGCAATGGTAAGTGTGTGTGAGTGAGTTTAAATCTGGCATGGTAGAATGAGAGACTGGACTGTCGTCATAAATGTTGATGTGATTAGGTGTGAAGTATGTGTCTAAGGCGGTGTTTACACGAGAACGAAACGGGTTGTGTCTGCTACTTTTCTCTGGCGTATAGCCCGTTCGTTCACACGAGGCCATAACGGAACCGCGGAAACGGACTCCGCAAACGATAACGTGGATAGATCTGCAAACGGAACGCTCTGGGGGGCCAAACGGCTCAGTGTGTACGCCCTATACGATCATTTCCTGATAACGATGAAGCCATAGCCCCACCTCTGCTGCTCACTGCTGTAGCATGGTCACTGCTAGTGCTACTGCTACAGACCATGCTACAGATGTCACTGCAAAATCTACAGCTCCTCTACCACAACCATCATCAACAAGTGGACATGGAGAATTACATGAACTACATGTTGCTAAATCTACCGCTGGGCAGAAACAGAAGGGCAACCATGCTTGGGGGTCTTCTTCACTGCTTTTGGTGTATTTTGTGGCAGAAGTACAGCGCCACTTACAGGCCCTTCATATGTACTACAGCGTTTCCAGTGGTCTCGTGTGAACGGACACGTTAAATGAGCCGAATGCGTGTGAACGGAATACTTTTTTGATAGCGAATTCGGTCCGTTTGCGTTTGCGCTCCCGTGTAAATGGGGTCTAAAGGAGAGGGAAAGCTCAGTGAGATTCACTTTGTCTGCCTGGAGGCTTTTTTGTTTGGGAGTTTTTATTAAATTGGAGAGCCATTATTTGTGTATCACGCACACAGAGTTGTACAGCAGGTCATCCTTAAGAAGGAACTTTTTAACTACTGCTTTTAAGCCAACATGGGTGAGAAATCCTCAAAGTACTCAGCAGCTACCAAATGGGCCCTGTGGTGCTGCTTTCTCAACTGAAACAAAATAGGGTGAAGGCTGTTACTTTAGGGATCATTTACTTTAAATTTGGGTTAAAACACATTTGGACCTTACTTGGACATGCTGTACATTTCAAATACACTAATAGCGTTGCTTCTCCTCCCTCACACAAACACACACAGCATGGGCTATGTCTTGATAAAAGCAAAAATGTATTTCCTGGTTTTCTCTCTATAATCTCAGTCGTCTGAACCTCTCATGAATGTGTCAAGAAGTCTCCTCTAACGATAGATTTGTTTGACCAAAGCCGAAACTAGTGAATGTGCAGATACCCAGGGGTGCACACAACTTTCTCAGTGAGGTACTCAGATGAGTACCTGGAGTCAGTGTTTGGTACTCCAACTTCCGGCTCCCCTCAAAGTTCCCATGAAGCCCTCTGTATCGCGAATATCAGCGGGTGGGGGTGCTAGTGGAGTATGATGAAGCCCTCTGTATCGCGAATGTCAACGGGGGGGGGGTAGTAGTAGTAGAGTGCAGAGCTTCGTGACCACAGAGCGTGTGAACGTTGTGATCAGCTGTTTTAGCGCAGTGCTGCTGTACAGGCCGACGTTAACAGCAGCCCTGTCTTTGCACACGGAGACCGACTCCGTCGTCCGGTGATCTAACCGCCTTATGGAAAAGCTTCACATATACATCGGTACGCAAATGCGCTTTGTGACACAAGTGACGGTACGCATTTCAGATTGTTGCTGCGCATGCGTACCTGCGTACCACTTATGTGCACCCCTGCAGATACCTATTGTAGCAAACTGTGGATAAAAAGAACAACTTTAGAATTGGAATTGGAATTAGAAATAGGAAGGCAGAGGGCATTACCTTATTGGACAAGGGAATGTTGTGCTTTAATGGAAGTTAATGGTAAAATATAAAAGTAAATAATAGGCTGTACTGCAGTATGAGTCACTGATTCAAGTCAATTGAACTCAAAGCAGTGAAATAAAAATGGATGAATTACAAATAATTTCTGTAAAGTGTTTAGAAAAACATAAAAACTGAAGAAAACCAGGGTTCAAGTGTGCTGTGATCTAATGTCAAAAACCAAAGAAAATCTGAGGAATATCGGTTTCCCTCTAAACGTAATATAAAATGTGGCTAAAAGTTAAGTAGATCAGGAAATGTAGGTGAAAATTCATCAGCTTTATTTCACAATCTTTAGAAATCCCCCCTCCAGACCCAAATTGGTCATTTTGCAACATTTTTTACAAGCTAAGTGAAACAACTTGTGAAAAATGGTTGTCTCTTCAACTATCAGGAGAATAAGAAACATATAAAACATAATGTGCACTATAGCTCAACAGAGTGGATTATGTTGCCTGTTAATTACCTAAGGATATAAAACTGTCTTTAGAAAATTCGACTTATTTGTTAAAAAATGTAATGTGGTGGATATCCACTACCTTAACTGTTACTGTTGTTCAGCCCAGCTGTGGACCAAATGGTCACTGTGGGAGGTGATGGTGGGAACTGTGGCCTCCTCACCTTTCTTCACTTCAAATGTCTTCTCCTTTCTGTACTGCTGTACCCTGCACTGATTCCTGCTGTACTCTCTGCACCTCCTCTCCTCTGGCCTCTCAATCTATTTTCTCTTTCCAGCTCTTCTGCTCTCCTCTCCTCCACGACAGCAATCAGAGTGACAGCTTTTCATACAGCAAAGCCTCCAGATGCAAACAACAAAGATAGCTTCAGTTTTCCTCATAGAGCCAGAGACGGACTGTGATGGCAATGAATGATGTGAAACATCTTTGAAAATAAGATTATGCCATCATTTGTAAGCCTGCTGTTTACCTTGAGGAACATCTGAATCTTTCACAAATATAAAAAATCATCAGTTGAATATTATTTTGGTCAGGTTATATTTATTGTTTGCTGTTCTGGGATCAAACTTTTTTAATTCAAAAGGATACTGATTGTCACAGATTTAATAATATCAAAACTTTATCAATTCATCATATTCATTCGATGTGTTTGTTGTTTCTCAAATTAATTATCACTTTTGAAATATTTGTTCTAAAAAATATATGACAAAAGCAGTTTTGAGTACAATTGATAAAACATCTTTGTGCGCATAAGAATAAAATATGCCCCAATATTTTAGGGAAATACTATGGTGGGTTGTTTTCCAAACTGCAATTTTCCAAAACAGTAAAAACTTTAAAACCCAGACCTTAGTCATTTAAACACAACATGAAAAACAGCCTGCAATTTCCTTTAATTTAATTTCGATTATAGATACGCAAAATATTACCCAACCATAATAGTTTTAAACAAATCGGTCAATAATATATTTATGTTCTGGAAAATACGTTTTCAGTATGTAAACAAGGCCAAAATAAAAAATGTAACATCTAGTTCAAAATAAAAACAATAAACAATCATCATGTCAATTGCCAACAGTATCCAAAAATGCACTTGATCATGTTAAGTTGTATTAATTAATACATTAAAGTAAGAGCCTGTATGATTAAACACTAGGTAAAGTTAGCCAGCTGCAGGTTGCTTTCTGTGACTAAAATAACTTCAGTTATAACCTCGTCTAACAGCCGTACTCGATTCACGTTGGTCTGTAGCATCTCCTACATCTCACACTGTTACCGTGGTGACAGGTGATGATAAACCCATAATTGGGAATTTACATTGACTGTTACAAAAGGCTTATATATCCTAACACAATACAAGGTTAGTGGACCTTGCGGTGTCGGTAAAAGGCTTCAATAAATATAAAGTGCTGTTTTGGCCTTCAAGGATCCTTTTTTCAAATGTTTCTTGCCTTAATATTTTCAAATAAGAGTTTCTGTTCCTCTGTCAAAAAATAATCATGATAATTCTTTGTTTTGGTGTCCTTCAGGTAACATCAGAAACACAGAGCGGCTGAGCTATGACAAGCAGAAGAGCTACAAGATCATGGTGACGGCCTTTGACTGCGGTCAGAAGAGAGCAAAGGAGGATGTGGCTGTGCATATTGATGTGAAGCCTGTCTGCAAACCTGGATGGCAAGGTCAGAGATAAAGAAACAGTCCCTGAAACATTTTTCAAATGCCTTTATTAACCTTGTAACAATTGATAGAGATGTACTTGACAGTTTGCTGGTAGAAAATGGACCCTCATTTTTTGTTAAATATTCTTAAATGATAGCAACAAAATGTAAGCAGAAGGTGCATATCTTTTTAGTGTAGCCTTTCTCTGTCTCATTTGAGATCGAACGTCTCTCGAGAAAAATCAGAAGACCTGACAAAACCCTCCAGAGGGAAAGTTGACGTGGAGTGTTTTTTTCTTCACCCTTTAACATGCGAGAAGCTCGGCATTCGAGTCTCCCCGTCTCCCCCGCTGCTTCACCTGTCAGCACTGAGAGCATCTCAGGAAGACAGGGAAAGATAAGAAACAGAAAGGGAGGAAGAAGGAGACAATTCGGGGGAGGAAAGAGAGAAATAAACTTATAAAGAAGGAATGAGTTGATTGTTATTTTAAAAGTATTCTAAGTGATCCCAGTTGGTTATTAAAACCCCCGTCTGTGGTTTTATTATCTTTACAGTTTCATTCATTCTCATTATATTATTATAAAGCTCCCTGACCCAGGATGATATAGAATCTCTTATTTATTAGGTTTCCCTTGTTTTACAAAATGTAATCTAACATGCAGGAATTCCAAAGTAGCTGTGACACTTTAATTAAATGTGGTATGTATTGCTACAAAAAAAAAGAAATACCGTGGTGTGGCATTAGTGAGATACACTTGTATACGATAATAATAGCCAACATATTTTGATTGATTTGACCTTATTAATTAACTTGATGTATAAAATACGTAGAATATCAGTCTCACATGTCATTCACTTAAGCTGTTGCATCCACTTTGTGTTTTACAGTTTATCAGACTGTTGCGGCAACGACATACAGTATAAGGTCAAAATACTGTGTTTCCCATTACCATGAGATACTTGTTCACATTGATTGAATAGACATTTTCCAGCTTTCCTAAAGCAACTTGCATACTCTCTACGCCTACTCACATGCCTCATATTTCTCTGTGTGCCAATATAATCATGTAGTTAAAGCAGACCTAATGTCACAGACAAGATCCTTTAGTGCAAGGAGAGCTCTTACTGAAAAGGACGTGAATGCCAGTTGTTTAGGCTTTAGGGACACACACACATTGAGGGAAATGTCAGTGCACATCCGAGGGGTGGAGGTGCAGAGTGAGTCAGTATAGTGTTGAGAAAGTTGTCTGAAATGGCATTCAACTTCATGTAAATGTAATCTGCATGCACTGCAAAGCTCTGAGGGGCCACTGATTTGGGGAAACTAAGCCTAAACCAGAACATATTTTAGAAAAAGAGGAAGTACCAGCTGTTTCTCCAAGATCTTGCTTAATGGGAAAACATATTTTCTGAGATCCAGCTGGCACAACAGGGCAATCTTCTTTTAGCATTTGAATCACAAAGGAGCCCTTGCTATCATACCCCTCTAACACCCTTATCAATGTTGCATGATTCTTTGGCATTTTGGCTCTGAAAATTGGCTTTACTGCATAATCCTGTCGTAAAACCATTAACCCATGGTAGCGTAAATGAATGAATAAAACATAATCCAATTATGCATTCAAATATCAAGTCTTTTTGGACACAACCTTATTTATTGTGCGTGTGCAAAAGGTCAGTCGCTCCCCGGCATAAATAGAGGCTAATTATGGTTTTCTCCTCCTCAGCTCTCAATCTTCCACGCTTACCTGATCATTTCACTTTTTGTCTCAGGAGACTTGATATCATATATATATCCATGGAAAGAGTTGCCAGGTGTTCAGATAAACACAGACATGCACAAACACTTTCCTGTGCTTTATGCTAGTGAATCCCTTTCAACACTGAGAATCAAGGATTTCCATACATCTGGGATAGATTTAACACTTGGGTAATGAATTGTACAATACTTAAGCACAGGAGCAACACGACTAACAGTTACAAGCAGGTCTGCACCTTCTTTCTGTCGTGTTACCGGCCCTTCCAGTCTTCTTTTGATTCGGCACAGGGCAAATATTTACTGAGAATATTCCAAGCCTGTGTGGTAGCCTGACCTTCTTTCAAGACCCACATGCTCATTCTGAAACCTCCTAGAGTAAAACAGAAAGTCAGACCAGAAAAGAACAGACAACAATTTTAGCTACAAGACGTATGTGGTTCCTACAGTGGACAGTGTTTCATGACACAAATAAATTAATATAGATGTTTGTAGCCTGTCATATCGTAAAGAAGCTAGTGCAGTAAGGAAACAAAGTGTGTACATTTGCCATAGACCTATAAATCACATAATAATAGTATATGTTTTTTTTATAGCATATTCAAAGAAACTAATTCACAAAGTTCCTATGTATACAAATCTAATATGCATTGCAATAATAATAGAATATTTTTAATGCAGCCAAGAAATAAAGACACAAATAATGAAGGCAATTATTAAGAATTAAACGCATACACAATTATAATTAAATGCCAAATAGTCAAATGTGTTACCTGGTCATTATATCTGTCATAGCAACAAATGACACCACTGACATCACTAAACTAATAACTACAACACTAATGTTGGCCCTTAAAGGTTGGAACAAGCGCGTGGACTACGAGCCAGGGACTGGAAGCAGGCAGCTGTTTCCCAAGATGCACTTAGAAACGTGCGGAGGTCTCCTGTCTGGAGTAAAAGCGATGGTAGAGCTCCAGACCAATCACATCGGGAAGGGCTGCGATCGGGAAACATACTCTGAGAAGTCTCTGCAGAAACTGTGTGGTAAGTAAAGAGAAAAAAGAAAAAAGGTTTAATTAAATTCCTTGTTTAAATAGTGTGATGCAATTTGAGAGTTGAGTGTTATGAGGGAGCAAGAGGTTATTATAATAATGAAAATAATCAATTTGTAGAAGATATTACCTCTTGACATCTTAGCCTCTGCACTGTATTCATTTGCATATTTTCATTGCCATATCTACTTCTGGAGTCTAATTTGAAATATTCCTTTTGAGAAATTAGAACTCATTTGTGTTTGAAAAAACAGTTTCCTACACCTCATCATTATTTCAACTTCTCTAAAAAACAATTAAAAGCATCTGTTTGAAATGTGGCAATTATCAGGTCACAAAGGTGGAATTAACATACCATGTTGTAAACAATGATCATTGCATAAACAGTACATGGCACATCAATCTTAGTTTATGGGCTAGGTTAACAAATCTAAGTTTTATGTAGATAGTATTGGAGTAACCATAGTTTTGCAGAGGAAGTTTTTCTCCAGGTTGTTGCTCCAGTAGCCGCCATGACAGTGTTGTACCTTGTGATTGGCTGTTCCAGGAGCAGCGTCAGGCAGCACCGACCTACTTCCTGCCTCCAGCCCTGCCACAAACTGGACAGCGTCTCTGCTGACTGACAGCGGCCGTGACAGCGATCTCATCTACAGGTTCGAGGGACGTCAGGCTGCTAATGTCCCGGACCACGTGGTGCCCCAAAACCTCACAGACCAGTTCACCATAGCAACATGGATGAAGCACGGACCCAGTCCGGGCCTCAGAGCGGAGAAGGAAACCCTGCTGTGTAACTCCGACAAGACTGGTAAGAAATACATTTCCGACGTACTCATTGTTAAAAAACCCATCTCCATAGTTTAATTGTCCTATATTTGAGAAGCACTTCTGCTTCAATTGGAAAGACTTTAAACTAATTAGGTCTAAGATACTGGAATATTTTATATATAATTTACTCAGTTTTAGAATAACACTTTAAACAAAACATGATAAAAAACATTGTCCTCTTAAGCCCCACGGACCCTTCGGCGGGTCCGAAACCACAACATCTGCAAGCAACAGTGTCTGAGGGCTTCTTAAGATTTAATAAACTATGAATGTTTCATATCCATGTAACGGGAAGAAACTCAGCTAACTGATGATTTTTTTTTTATTTAGCAAAAAAAAAACACAAGGCTAACGCTGAGCCTCTGAATTAGCCCTGAGCAAAAAAATCTTAACGCCATTAGCACAGAACTCTAGCTATACCGATTGATATGCTTATTGGATCTGCACAAACAAGTTTAGCTAACATCCTGAGATTCCACAGATTATAGAAATATAAGGATCATCACTGAGAGATCAGAACTCGTCACAGGGGAAGCAAATACAGACAACACACGACGTAGCTTTAGGTAGCAAAACACTGAGATATGCTCACCTTAGCTGTTATTCTGATCAAAAGCCGTGTTCAATGGCATTAAAACGAGAATAAACGCGGCTGAAGGTTAATCCATAGGTTAATCCAATGTGCTTGTCACTTTGAAAAAATTATTGATAATCCATAATTCAATTTTTATGCAAAAATCGGAGAATAAAAATTAGCTGCTAATGGTAGCCACCAGAGTGTGTCGCAGCTCCGGTTTTGGCTACGCGTCACTCTCACCCGTTATTTGGTAGCCTGTGTGTGTATGTGGAACAATCCCCCGATTCCATTGGCTCTGACGGTTAAAAAGAGATGTCAATCATCAAAATTGACCAAGGGATGCCAGAGATAGGTCAAATCCACCCAAATAACCCCAGAGGTGGGTTTTTTTTGCTAAATCTCTCTAAAAAGGTCAAATATCACTTGTTTTGCATCAATCTTGATACAGGGTACTTATTATATGTTGTAATTTGGATTCCTAAAGCTTTTAGTATACTAACCCATCATCCAAGGGTAGTTTTCACTATAAGTAAAAAATACTTTTTGGACGGACACTATAATTTACAGTCTTTTACTATGTTCAATCTGCATTTTCTTTGAAATAAAAAAACATCTATATTGATTCTGACTTTTCTACATCCAACTCACAGGTTTATCATTACTTTCAGAAAAAAGATTATTAATTTAACCCTTTTAGAAGTGTAGTTATGGTCATTTGTTCTGGAAATGTCATTTTCGAGCCTGAGACCTGAAAAACAGGCTTGGGGCTTAACAGGTTAAGAAAAATAACAATAGAATTAAACCCAGACTTCCCCTCACAATAGCAAATGCTCTTTGAAACTTAAAACTTTTTCCCGGCTGCCTAACTGAACTGAGTTGCCTTAACTGTGTAATTAAGCAAGCCATCTGCACACTGCACGCTCTCACAATGGTCTCACAGATGGCTTATTAGCTTACGAAATGTGCAGTCTGATCTTGTAATGCAAAACTGCAGAGCTGTTCGTGTTGAGCCACTACAATCTTATAAACCCTTTTTTCATTTGCAACTTTTTGGCTTAAGGATGTGAACGGTACCAGAAGACTCAGCGTGAACGCCAGATCACCAATACTGTGTGAAAAACATCCATCTATTTTATCCCATCATTTGGATGGCCTAACTCTAGGGAATTTAAGGTGGGAGATAAGGACACAATAACTCTTATTAAAGCATTATATGACAGCAAGATGTCAGTACTAACTGTTACCAGAAGGTCAAAGTGATATGACATTCTCCCAGCTTTATAATATATATAAATAATATTATTTCACCCAAAAAGGTATTTGTATTCAGTTTTTAACACTGACATACTTTAGAAAAGGTTAAATGTGCTATAGACAATAAATGATTGTACTGAATTATAACCCAACATGAAGTAAAATGGTAAAACAATAAATGTAAACATCGTGTCCCCAGACTACAGAGCAGTTTCTTTCCTCAGACATTGACAACGGTCCACTTTTCTTTCACATGCTTACAACATTTTTTATTTGAAGGTTCACTCCTAACTTTATCACTTTAACAAAAATATTTAATTTTCACATTATTGCTTGGACACGTTTTGGGTTTTTTCCGTCTGTCCCAGTCTTGTGAGCACGATATTTCAGCATGCCATAACTATCCACTTGGACTAAAGGATGAACTGATTAGAATTTTGGGATCAAAAGTAAAGGTCACTGTGACCTCACAAACACATACCGTAAGGCTTTTTGATACATGTGTACAGTATGTCTAATACGATAATATGTGATGATTTCGAACACCGATGGTGTCTTGACCTGGTGGAGGCATACAACCACAGAATGGCGGAATTGATAGTTTTTATCTGCAGTTATACGATTATAAAATTAATTTCCATTTAGGAAAAGTAAGTAGAGAAAGAATTGTGTTCAAAAGAGAACCAGGTTCACATCCACAACATCACATCATAACATCAGTTTATAGAATGCATAATCTTGTTGATACATACATTGTATGAATAATGTTTAACTGTGTGACCATGTATGTTTGTGATCTTGCCCTCGCAGAGATGAACCGCCATCATTACTCTCTGTACGTCCACAACTGCCGCCTGGTGTTCCTGCTCAGAAGAGATTTCACCCAGGTCGACACTTTCAGACCCGCCGAGTTCCACTGGAAACTGGAGCAGGTGAGCTGTGTGTGTGTGTGTGTGTGTGTGTGTGTGTGTGTGTGTGTGTGTGTGTGTGTGTGTGTGTGTGTGTGTGTGTGTGTGTGTGTGTGTGTGTGTGTGTGTGAGAGATTCAGGGTGATATTCTACATCAGGTGAAGGGCTATCATTATTTGCGTAGTGAAAGGAGTGGCTCTCCATTCTAATTACCGGAGGCCCTCAATCACTTTCTTCTGCTCGCTGCATGAGATAAGAGGTGGAAGACACTATTATCCTATGCACACACACACACACACACACACACACACACACACACACACACACACACACACACACACACACACACACACACACACACAATAATAGGCCCACAGTGGAAAGTCTGTCTAGTTAGAGGTAATAGCTCAACCAGCAGCGCATCTCTATTATCTGTCTTGCTTCTGGAGAGTTGTTAAACTAATTTGCAGTTTACCGTATCATAAATCGAATCGATAGATTTATGATTAGAACATTATAAAAGTAGGGTAGACATGTGGAGATTATCCGACTGAACAAAACGTGATCCGTCTCTTAACTATTTGTCAACCACAGACCTTATTTCGAGCTATTTTCCAAAACCCTATGGAGAAATTGCATTGCTTTTTGGTCGAGGGAACCGGAAGGAACCCATGCGCAGCTTACAGTACTTCCGGGTTTTAGGAAGCGTCACTGCACCGATCTATTGCAACATATGAAGTTGCTTCAGCTTCACAGATTATACATATTAAAATGTATTTTCTGTTGCACAGTGCTTTTTCCTACTTTAACTATCCTGCAGATGTACACACTGGTATATAACCTCTGAATTCTACAAAAGAATATGCACATTAGGCAGGTATGTTATCTGAATATAAAGGTTTATATTCATTGTTCCAATATGAAGTGGTGAATGTTTAAGTCCTTCAGAAATTGTCTTGAAAGAAAGTCAGAAAGTATTGCTCAATAACACCTTGGTCCGGTGGATGCTTTAATGAGAACCGGCTGAAGGTCGTCTAGTCATGTTTTTCACCAGGCGGACGCTTTGTGGAGAAAATACTACTTTAAAAAAAGATAGAAAAATGAAATCATGATAAACCAAAATGTCCCAAATACACAACTCTCCCTGGATAACTAATAATATCCCTTTGCCCTTATTCCTCCTAGCTTAGCACTTTCTACTTTTGTCGTTATTTTGTTTTACTTGATTGTAAGCGCTTTGAGCACCAGGAAAAGCGCTTTATAAATGTAATGTATTATTATTATTATTATTATTAATAATGGATCGTAGATGTAAATCTAATCTAATTATTCAGCCTTGGGATCAACATATGCCTAACGCACACTGAAATTGTTAGAAAATGTTTCATGATTACAGTAAGATATTAGGAGTTTTTGCTGCACTAAGCAGATTATAAGAGATTTGTATTGTATTTGGGTCTTTCTGTCTATTTGTGCCCATGGCTGTGTGACCCTGCATCAGCACGTTTGTCTACTCTTATGAAAACTGTAATGCTGGATTTACCCAATTTACTATTTCATCATGCATGGAAAAAAATGAGTGTACAAGGCTTAGTCTTCTTGTGCTATGCAGTCAGTCTTTGTGTGCAGGCAAACATCCCAGCGAGTTTTTTTGGCACTATCTCCTCCTGTGCCGGTGTGTACCCTCCAACCCTGTGATTGCTTGTTCAAGGTCAAAGGTAGATTGAAAAGTGTTTTTCTCGATCCAGTGTTTTTTCTCTCCTGAGGCCCAGGGAGGTGTGTGTGACAAAGAGAAGGGCAGCCAAGTAGTGACTGCTGAGTTTTCTTAGCAAAAGAGCAAACAACCCCAAATTGTATTTCAGTCTTCCTCTCTCCTTCTTTCTGTTCCTAATTATCTTTCCTCTATTCTCCTCTTTTTCTCTCCCTTTCTCACTTACAGTACATCGATAACAGAGATCCCATTTGCTCCTCTTTTTAAATCTTGCGGAGGATCACAGAGGAAGCATGTTTTGCAGTCAAAGAGAATATGTGATGAGTTACAGTACAAATCACTTGTGCAGAAACGTTCATGAAATATAAATGGAGGCTGGTCTGAAAACTGTAGGTTAATGAGAGATATGACATCATAGGAGCACAGCCCATTTGGGCAAGTGAAGGAAACAACTCTATGATCATCAATCTGTGAAGTAGAGTGCAGTTTGCTGTACTCACGTTGCCATAATGTGCTTTTTATGGTAGTGACTTCCTGCATATTTGAACATGTTGTGCACTCAACTTCTTTATTGAGTTGACATGCAGGTGGAAAGAGCAGTACATTAGTGAAACTGCTTTGATGGATTCTTGTGTGAAAACATGTCTTTCAGCTGGATCGACGAAAGGCTACTTTCAACAGAGAAACTGGTGTCTTCACCTCTTTTCTTTTAAACAATTCTGGCCTATCTTCTTGTTGAATGTCAGTGCAAAATGATTGAGTCTAGAACCAAACCATTTCTTTTGAATGTGAGTTGCTGAAATGAAAATCTGATGTGTGCCCTGGAGCAGCACACGATATTTCAGAAGTGAGCACAGTGCTTTTGAAAACTGCCCCAATCCTTAACAAATATAATATTCTACTTGGATTTATGGAAAATGCCTAATGGTTGACTGCACAATAACTACAATGAAAATCCAGGCACATAAATATTTTAAGTTATTATTTTTGTTTTATTGATAACAGTCATCCAAAACCAACAATATGGTAATTGTTTTTACAATCGTACTTTATCACAATATGTGCTGTTCTTAAATCCATTATGATCTTGTATCTGCACAAATATCAACATTACTTTTGAGTTATTTATTGAATAGTAATAGTTTGAAAGATTGATTAAATATTTTACAGGAAAAATCTTTTTCTCATTTGCCAGTCCGAGCACAAGTTATAAAACAGTGACTTTAATTATTTATTATTCTATAAAGTAGTAAAGATCCATGTAGTATAAATTCACAGATCTTAGCGTCAGCTTTCAGCATAAAGCATTCCCACTAGCAATTTCTTCAGGAATTGCATTCTCTAGTTTCAGTAGTTGTGTTCTATAATGTATTTACAAAGTGAAGAGGAGGCAACTTTAGAATAGGGAACATGTTCAGGTCAATTAGAGTCAAACTACTAGCTTATTGGTTATGAACAAGACTTCACTTTAAAATAGGGAACATATTCTTAGATAGAAATACCTCATTTTCAGTTATTTTGACACAAATAAAACTTTTAGTTTCATGTCTTGTTACATAAGAATAGATTATATTTGTTAAGTGTTATTATGGGAGAATTACTATTCTTGTGGTTCTACTGCCTTATTAGGCCAATGTTGAGCAGAGCATATTAAGACCCAAACTCATGTACAACAACTTCCTTACTTGCAACAAATAAGCACTAATTAAAGGGTTATTGAGGAAAAACTCTCAACTAATAGCTTATTACTTGTAGAATATGATCATGTAGAATAAGGCATTAACCTGTTAAGCCCCAGAGCCCCTGCCGGCGGGGGCTACAGGTCTTTTTCTTCACAAAACTGTGTCTCAGGGCTTCTTAACATTTAAAACATATGAATAAGTGTTTTATAATGACTAATGAAGGGCCAACATACTGCTAACATGCATGTTAATCAGCAACTAGTTGATGGTTAATGTGTGTACCTTAATATAAAGTGTTACCCTAATATCTATTCTTTATTTACATTTCAGTGAATGTAGTACTTTAGTACACTTTGTAAGGTATTTGTACCCACTTTATTTGTACTATACCTGAGTATTTCTATTTCTACACTTTTCCCAAGCCCTACATTTTTTTTGTTGCATTATTTTACCTACATTAACAAAAGTAAAAGTACTTGTTATGCATTTCAGAATCACTTATATGAAATTACTGTAGAGCAGGGTGTTCAATCTCTGGATTAGTAATTTGTGTGTTTGTTGGATAAGTAAACATGTGGACACACACACACACACACACACACACACACACACACACACACACACACACACACACACACACACTGTAATGACAGAGGTTTGCCTGTAACATTATTTTTGTCTTCTGTTTTTGTGTCATTCATCTTCATTTGTGACAGTATGCAGGGAAACAAATACATTAATACATAACTGGGTCAGTTTCTTCCTCCTCGCTGCGTTTAAATAGAATCGTGATGCAGCGTGTCAGGACAGAGATGCATGAAATTCAATTTAACTCATCACGCTGTGCTGTGCTGTCCCTTTACTGTACATCAGCTAAATGCAGTTAATGAGTGTGTCTACAAGTCTCTAAACCTACATATATACAGTATATATATATATTTATAAAACGGACAAGTCAAATCAAGCAATCTGATTGGTTCTTAGCCGTGATATACTGAGCGTATACCACGGGTAGAATTGTAAGTTACTTTTCACAACAAGTCAGTATCCCATGCTGGGCAGAAGCCCTCCTTTTTGACGCAGCGGTCCAGACATAGACAGCAGGATATCTAGATACTTTTGAAGGTTTAACACAATGAATTGTGCTACTTTTAAAGCAAGCAACGATGTTTTCAAATCTGTAATCAAAGAGGTCCGCACAATTCATTGTGTTAAACCTTCAAAAGTATCTAGATATCCTGCTGTCNATCTCAGTGGAGCATGTGGGATAGACGAGAGCAGGCCGGTTATATCGATTAGGAGATACACGGGGCCAGTGATAATTGCGAGAAAACACATGAACAGGAATGGAGAAAATACACATGACTAAAGCATGAGGGGCTGGAAAACCAAATGAAATAAAATAAAACACCAGCGATACTTATACTTAATTCACACAGACTATCTCCTCTTTGCTCTTCTCTCTTTGTGGAGCAGCAGGTTCAGCTGTCAGAACAAAGTGAAAAACAAACAATGGCATACAATATTATTAATATGTCGGGTAGTAATAGGTTTATTTATTTTCTCCCCAGAGAATTCCCCCCAGACCCCCCTGCTGGGGTTGGGCTTTCAGTATGCCTTTTTATGTTATACAGTTCACCTTTGATTCCATAATCTCATTAAACCTTTTTTAAAAGCATACTTTAGTTCTGTGAAGGGATATATGCACTGTACTTCACTTTAATTAATATTGTATGCTGAGAAGCGTATTACAGCACAATTTTTTGTTGAATAGATTTGAGTGGTTCAACATTTCGGGTCACGATTTATTGACAAAGTGGCTCCCGAGGCCTGACCAGTTGAGAACCACTGGCGTGTCTTTTAGGTCAGCTGTTGCTTAAACATTTTGACTAAGTCTAGGCCTGGCAATGATGTTCCAGTCAGGTGCATTTCACCAGAATAAAATGCATCCCAGCTGACATTTTTTATTACTGTTATTTATTCATTACTAATATTTCTAATGGCCTCTTTTAAAACTACACATTTACATGTTCCTTGACTGTATTGCTGCATACCTTTTGAATTTACTGTATACTTAGGGACATACTGTATTTCTATCTCGATACAACAATATTCAAAAGGTCAATTTATTAAATGAATAGCAAAAGCAATATACCTTTTCAGATGTTACTTTAAACCTTAGATAAAAGTGTGTTCAAATATTATTAAAATATGAACTGTAATTACAATTTGTTGGGAAATTGTTTTCATACAACTCAGCATACAGTAGCACACTTTTTTAATTTCACAACACTATTAAAGACAATTAATCATGTTAAATGCTGGAAATCTTTATAAGGATCTTAGTCAACCCTGTTGCTGTTCAAAAATATATTTAACTATGAACTATATTTTTCTCTTTCATTCGTATTTGCCATATACGCCTCTGCGCCGCACAGCACACATTTCCGGGAGGTTGAAATAAAACAGGAAAAATATTAATTCAATTGTTTTATCTTAATAGCTTTGAAGACATTTGAGGCTTGTTTTTGAGTTAATTAAATACCTGCAGCGATCCCCCTGCAGTAGAAACGATAAGCCTCCAATTTAAGAGAGATGCTGTGTGCGTTTCAGCTCAAGGCAAATATTCACCAGTTATTTCAATCTTTTGTCCCCATGTATTTTAATTAATTTGTTTATTTCTCATGAAACAAATGTCATTGCATCCTGTTACAGTGCAACTGTGTCAATGCAATGACTACACCCTAATAAATGAGTTTTTAACGGACATCACTCAAATGTGCATCAGTTTAGGATT